CTCTCTCTCTCTCTCTCTCTCTCTCTCTCTCTCTCTCTCTCTCTCTCTCTCTCTCTCTCTCTCTCTCTCTCTCTCTCTCTCTCTCTCTCAGTCTGTCACCGGATCGGCGACGAGGCCGTACTTTCTGAAGAACTCTCGGAAGCCGTACGCGCTCCAATCGTAGGTGTACGGAAGGACATTGACAGAGAAGGTAGTTACGGATCCCTGTCCTTGCTGTCCTGCTCCCTTCATGTGCTCTCTCTGCGACTGCTTCGGGCTGTGGAATATCTCCACAAAGGGGTAGTCCCTCCTCTGGCGCGAGATGCAGAACCCCGGGTACTTGGGGCACTCCACTCTCATGAACTTAATTAGCCCATCAAACTCCTTGGCGGCATCCTCTAGGGCTTTATCCAGCACCTTTGTGTGGGCGCAAGCTATGGTGAAGGCCACGACCACTGGGTCCCCTTCGTGGAGCAACCGCGCAAAATCGCGCTCTGATTGGAACTCCTGCACATACGATCGCGATCCCGATCGTGGGGAGGGGGCAACATCGGCTTCCTTGGCCGCCCTACCCCCGCTCGGAGAACCGGTGAAATCGCGCCACGTGTCAACCACCCTCTGCAGGAACGACGAAAAGGAGCCCCCCGCCTCCATCTCCCCCGCCCCCCCAAATCCACCACATCTCAATTCAGAGAACCCGCCAAAAAGGACGAGACGAAGGAGGAAGTGAGCGGGGTCTGGGTCCAGAAGAGGAAAAGTTGTTGACGAAAAATAAAATTAAAAATCAACGGGCCTGAGACCTGAGTTCGAATCCCGTGGAACTACCAGTAGGTGAATGAAATACCTGAATCGCCGGCGCCGTTCAGATCCGTGATGACATCGTTTTTCCTTTGGGCCTCGTTGCACACGACTTCACTTGAGTTTCAAGTGCCGCACTTGGGCCGCCCGCCCTCCACTGCAATCGTCATTTGGGCCCCTTTCCACACCACTCGAAACTCAAGGATTTCTTGCCCAACAACGTTCCACACCACTTGAAACTACCGGATTTCTTGCCCAACACTGTTCCATGGTGCCCCTGAGTTTCGCTAACCACGGCCCGGGTCCGGGACCCACATGCGCCTTGTAGCTTAGTTGGGCGGCAGCAGGTGGCGTCAGGCGGCTGCGGGCGGCGAATCCTTGACGCATGATGGGCCCGGATCGGACATGCGCAGTTTCCGAGTCTTTCAGACATTTGTATTGGCTGAGACATGGTTTGGGAGGAGGCGAGGCCGAGTTCTGCGTGGTAGAAAGAGATTGCAAGAAAAGTGTGAGTGCTAGCGACAACGACCACCGTCCTCTGCATTGATTGTTTTGGTGGAAAGTCCGTGATTTTACCGCCACCTCGAAGTTACAGAGGGATTTTACCGTGATTTACTGCCACAAAACGGAAGAAGATTCGAACTGAGGTTCACCACCAACCACGGGACGCCACGCCCGCTGACAGCCGACGGCGGGGCAAGCAGGCGCAGACGAGGTCAGGTTTCTGGATTTTCCCGCCTCCCACACGTCGCAGACTGTCAAAAACTACAACTACACGGTGCATCCGGCCCCCGGCCCCCGGACGTGATTAGGTTTTTGGGCTTAGCAAATGGGCGGCAAAAGCTCGAGAGCGGCTCAAGTGCTGCCCGGGCAACCTACACATTTTTCAAGTCACCTCTGTGGGCACACTCGTGCTCCACTTGAAAACGGCACTGCAGGTGTGTGTAGAACCCCCCGATAGGTCTTTTTTTAATTATTATTCTCCTTTTTTCTACGGCTTTTGTCCTTTTTTTTTTTTTTT